CCTGTGGGCCCTGCATGCACCATATTTTATGTGATATTACTATGTGACATATGAATTATGTTGACTGTTGACTGATTATGTTAGGTGAAGTTATGAATAATATCTTAGTATATGCCATGAAAATGTTGATCGATATCATGTATACACGTAGTATTATTGAGTCATGTCATGAAATGCTTATGGGACTAGAATGTATTTTCATGATATGTAATATGCCATGTAATGACGTAGATGTGATGTTAGCAATGCTTATGTAATACGATATTTATGTTAGCCATGATATGATACTGGCCTTTTCTGTTTTGTGGTGTCCGACGACGTGTAATACGTTGTGCCCAACCAAGCCAGGCTCAGGGGTATGTATACGAGCCCGCCTGGTGGGTCCATGTGCATGTACATGGGCCGTGTGTGAAGAAGTACCAAACATCCAACCCTACTCAGAATAGAAAAGCACCCAAGACCATGTAAAGTTTACGAAAAGTTAGGTCCTGCTCATATGTTGCATGTGTTTACATTTCTAACCCTAGAGTGGAGTGACTTACTAAGTAGTTTATAAAATACTCAAGCCACGTGCTACCTATATTTTTCATGTAAAGGGAAGACACCAATGTACGACTGACGGTGAAGCTGAGGACACCATGGTAGTTGAAGAGGGGACATTATTAGTAGTTTACGTTGGTTTGACTGTTTTTAAGTTAAAGTATTGAACATTCTTTTTATTTAGAGTTTTTGAATTCCGTTACTGAAGGTTTTATTTTCAGAGATGTTTATTTGAATTTTTTGATCTTTATGAAATACTTTGCTGTGTTTTCTAAGATTATTTATGATGAGCTTCAGCATAATGAGTTATGTATGCATGAATGACGTCACTAACTAGGTTTAGAAAATTAGAGGCATTACAGGTACCCTCCTCTAATCCCAACCATGTCATGAATTTTTTCTTAAGAACCTTGATCCTTAGTTTCTAGTCTTAGGGTCATAAATTTATAAAATAGAAGCATAATTGTTAAGTTCTTGGTTCGGAGTTCTTTATTTTGATCAGTTTGTTGCCTTGCCCTAGTTCATGCACTTATATGATCCATCGTCCTTGGATAGATTTAATGAGAGTAGAGTAGATTCCTTCTAGTTGTCCTCTTCTCGTCCCTACACAATAGTTAACACTAATCCTACTCCTAAATCACTCCCTTGGATCATTCCCTTGGAAGGGCTTACTAAGTCATGTAGATGGTAAACAACTTGAAATCTTATATTTGACATTCCACCGCATTTCCTACACATAATCAAAATGTCTCATTCCTCAAATTCAAATAGGATTAAATATCAAATTTTGCATTTTTCGGCCATAGTATTCCTTTAAGTCTCCTAAAACATAGTCTAAATTTGACATTCTACGAAATAGGATATCTTACCTTTGTGAGGAAAAATATATGATAATGATGTAATGCATATCAAGAGATATAGACTGACTTAAGACATAAGGCACGTTTGAGTGAAGTGCTACACAGTAGTTTGAGTGTCTCAGTGTCTCAGACGTAAGACGGGTTTTTTTGGCTCTTAACCCTAGAGCAACATTATAGATCCATAATGAATGAATGTCATGAAAAATATAATGTCATTTGGAATTCATTAAAACCATGAATTCTCATACTAGGTTTATTAGAGACATTTTCACTCTAATGTTAGTTTATTCCTTAAACATAGTAAAATACCTTTAAAATTATGCACCGTCATTCATAATATCATAAATAAGCCTCATTTAAAATTATCATTTGAAGACCATTTAGTCCTTGAAACATCATAAAGACGTAGGACTATTTTGGTATTTTCTATCTGAGTCTTAATTTATGCCTTAAACATACTTTTATTCATCTATAATCTTATAAATAGGCTTCATAATAAATTTTTAGTTATTTGGAGTCCATCTTGATTAGGAACATATGGCCTTCGTTAGAGCATTCTTATCTTTAGTGTAGGGCTTAAATATGCTTCTATGTTCGTAAAACTTTGCATACACCTTTATTTTATGGTATTAGGCTTCCATTAAAATTTCATATGGGGAATGCCATTTAGTAGATTAATTTTATAATTTGTAATTCTCAAGATAAACATTTGGTTTAGGTTTTTAACTCAAGATTCTTGATTTAATCTTTACATTTTTACTTAACTTTGAGTTATCTTAAGTTTATAGGGAGTACCAAAAGCATCTTATAAATAATTCCTAAAGAGATATCAAAGTAGCTACTTCCTTGCTCAATTCAGTATGGGACCTTCGTTCTTGCACTCTTAGATGAAAGAGTTTTGAGAATTGGTCTGGAAGAGAGCTAATAGCCATGCCATCAACTTCAACCTCATAATTGAGGGATCACCGGCGTTGCTTGTTGTTAATTACTCTGAAACTTTCTCTCGCCTTGTACATAGGAAGGCCTAGGAACTGTCATCGAGATATCTGAATAGGTCTTGAAGAAACGAATTTGTGCCTAGCTCTCCAGTTTGAGGGAAAAAATCTTGGGTCCATAGCTCAACGTTCTAGGTCTTCTTAGCCTCCAATTTTTGTCATAAAAAAAAAAAAATACATCCTTTAATTCTCTAAAATTAGAGTGATATTGAGTTTTTTTTTTTTTTTTTTT